GCAGTGATGTAAGCTCTTTATAGGCAGAGAAAAACAAGGTCAAAGTTGCATTATTATAGGAAAGGTCGAAACTTGACCTCTCTGAAAAGACATGTAGAATATGACTTATTTAGTGAACAAATATGGGATTCTATGTAACGTCTTATGCTCTACACGAGAAGAGTCTTGAAATTCTTTCGGTTTTATGTTATGTAATGGTGGGTGAACCTAAATAGAAGGACTCTTGGCGCCAAATTCACATTTGTCGTTTGTGCTCAAGTCTATTTCTGTCTTATTTGGGCAGAATATTGTTAGTAGGGCTCCTTTTCAACAATTTCGCACGAAATTCCACTTTGTTTTTCGCGTTATTTTTGCGAAAAAAGAAGCGCTCTACCTGAAATTTTAGGCATGTTGAATAGCGTACAAAACGAATAAAATAGTTGAACGTAGCTACAATCGCTTTTCATATGAACGAGAGATAAAATTGTTAAATAGAACTAGAGTCAATAAAAACTACATTTTCGGATAGAGGATAGTTGATTGCATACATGTATTTGTAGAAGCCTTGGCAATGACGTAGCCAGATAATCGATCAGTGGTAACTATAACGTATTTGCTTTCATTAGATGAGACAGGTGCTGGGCCAAGTACTTGAAAGACTTCCGCAGGAGGACTGATGAGTTGTAATAGACCAGGTGGCTTTTGACGTTGTATGTTTAATGCGTTTCGCAGCGCCGATATATCGAAATAAAGTAATTATCATCGTAACTGGACATGGTTGGATAGAGGTGGTTGCCAACTGTTCATAGCTGCACAGTTGGTGAGGTCCACACTTTGGATAAAGACGGTTTTTCATGAAGATGAAAAAACCATAGAAAATCTTCGAAGATTTTCTATGATTTTTCCATCATGAAAAAAAAGTCGGAGAAGATAAGATAAGATTTTATTTTTACTAAAGTGCAGGATATCACAAAAAAGAACAAAAGACTTGTGGCATCCGTGGATACCCTATGATAGCCGAAAACTAAAAATTTAAAAATAAACATTATTAAAAGCCTGTGTAATCAAACTCTCACCATATTTTTAAATGTGGCTAAAGAAGTTTGACAGGCTAAAACAGAAGGTAGTTCATTCCAATCTTTTGATGTTCACGGAAGAAAAGAGCTAGATGCAGATTTTGACATTAAACGAGGAATAAACACGCGACTATCTTAGCCTAATCGAGAGCTTTGACGCGTTGTTGACTGTAAAATCAGATCAAAAGAGGAGAGAGGACTTTTATGCCTGAAAATTTTATAGAAATAGAGAAGGCGATAATACAGACGACTGTTTGAAAGTGGTTGAATTTTGAATTGTTTGAGTAGAAAAGAAGAAGAAGAACCACTAAAATCCTACTAGCATTTCCAGAGAACAAGCTCATTGATACATTTTTGAGCCTCGAATATCTTTGTAACACAGAAGACATCATCAGCAAAAAGACAAGAGAGAAGAGAAGATTTAAGAGATGGCGCTAGATCATTTATAAAGATGAAAAATAAAATCGGGCCAAGACTACTACCCTGAGGAACTCCAGACGACACTGGAACAGAAGAAGAAAAAACAGAGCCCACAGAAACTTTTTGTGTACGATTTGAAAGATAAGAAGCGAACCATTTCAAAAGACTTCCGGCTATTCCTGCTTTAGCCAGTTTTTGTAGAAGAATATGATGTGGTACAGTGTCGAATGCCTTTTCAAAATCAAATGATATGCCAGTTAATTTATACTTTTTATCTAGATGCTGGTAAACCTTTTGAGTGAGAAGAAGAAGAGTATCTACGGTTGAAGTACTTGGACGAAATCCAAACTGAGTAGGGTAAAAGAGATTTTTGTGCATAGAAATGAGTATAAATGCTTGTAAATCAGTTTCTCGAGCACTTTACTAACATGAGACAATAGTGAAATAGGACGATAGTTTTTGACGAGTAACTTGCTTTCTTTCTTATATATGACACGTATAATAGCTTCTTTTCAGGCAAGAGGAAACACACCGGTCCAAAGAGAAAGAGAGAAAATATGAGATAACTGAGGAGAAATTATATCGGCATTAAGCTTTAAAAGTTTGAATTTGATCAGTGCCTAAAGAAGTTTTATTTTTTAAACTACTTATAGCTTTAAACACATCAGAAACATCAAATTTAATTTTAGATAGAGACTGAGAAGATAAAGGAAGTTGAAAATTATTCGTGGTAAGTGGAAAGAAAGTTTGAAAGAAAGTAGATAATAACTCGGCTTTAGAAGAACCATCACTAGTTGAAGAAGAATTATATTGCATAGAAGATGGTAAGTCTCCAACAGTGTCACGATACTTTTTTATGACTGACCAAAACCTTTACTATTTGAAAAGTCTTTAATAATACGTTTAAATAAATGTCTTTGTCGCTACGAATTGAACTGATAGCGGAATTCCAAAATTTTTTATATATATCAAACAAACGAGATGGATGTTGTTTTGATGTTGATTTTCTAAAAGCAGCATTTCTTTTCCGTAGCAGATAACGAGTACGCCGAGAAAAACGGAGAGTTCTTACTTTGATAATAGGAATATTTTTGATAGGAAACACTGTTGAACGACTGCCATAAAATGATGTTGCCACAAGGCAAGTGCGTGATTAGTAGAGAAAAACTTCGAAGACCAAAATAAAGTCATTTCCACGCATCATGTGCAATAAAAACTAGACAAAATATCGCAACTATCGATAATAGTGTAAAAGAAGCTAAAATTTGTCTGAGGTTTTCTGGAAAACTCTTTAAAATCTGTTCAAAAGTGCTGAAAAAGGAACTAAAATATAAATTTTTAGTGTGTGAGCTTTTGAAAAACCTTTATAAAACCGTTTTTATTCAAGATGTGGAACTCACCAGCTGTCCGAGTATGTTCAGCTTTTCGAGCTCTATCCAACCATGTCCTTGAAAATGTTCCAACGAGCTTGTGAACTTGGAAAATGCAGTTCTAAAAGAGTTCAAATTTCAAATTTGAACAAATCGAGAATACCGGTTGTGGTCGATGTTGGAAGGTCCACAGTTCGTGCATTCTCAGGTTCTATGATCGATCTGTTATTGAAGCAAACGACACGATCGAGAATTTTAAATGGTCTACAAGAACACCAATATGTCTTCCGGAAAACATCACCATAGTTGTATCGGAACGAATGTATGAGTAACGTTCTAAGCGTTTTCTGTCCACGTCTTCCACTCTGTTCGGAATCGATTCAATATAAGTATGTAGTGCCTGAATATCTTCCACACCACGCATTAAAAGCCCGCCACATTCTCTCTGTGCAGCTAATCTATTGAATTGTTGAACAAACGGATCATTGGGATTATCCTCGATGGATAGTCTAGATCGAGGCTCTATTGACTCCAGCATATCAACATCTTTTGTAGCATTGGTTCCAATACATTGCCTAATTGCCTCTCTCGCTCGTGCTCGGAACTCTGATACAGGCATACAATTACTCCAGAGCATATTGTCTTCTATAGCCATAATGACATTGAATTTCTCTCCCTCAGTTTAGAGCCCCTTGTTCAATATTATGGACTACTCGCTCTATTTCTTTATAAAACTCTTACTCATTTAAAACTGGCTCAAGAAAGATATCGAACCAATGTCACTTGCTTCTTCGCCTACACGATCATCTTCCTCATCTTCCTCAGGAAAAAAAATTCAAGGAAATTTATTCAGTGGAAAAAATTGTTTTTTTGGTAGTAGCAGCTTTCGTTGTCAATTTGCGATCGCATGAGACAAACTGAAGAGAAAGATGTAACATGAGAAAGTTTTCAATTTTTATAGTATGAAGGACCGAATGAATTTTGTTAAATCCCAGTATTTAACGTTTTTGAGCGATGCTCTTCCCGAACGCGAACTCGAAATAATTTTAAAAGTGTCGGAAGTTTTCAGAAAACCGCGGTTTTTTACACACCCATTTACAGAAAATACTTTTTTTTAAAGAAACACTTGTCTGTAAAAAGATTTCAGATTAGCGGTTTTATTCAGAATTGAGTGGACTACATTTTAAAAAATAGTCGAACTCTTGTTAAGGTCGGGCGCTGTCACCAGGTGAAAACACTTTTCACCGATTGAAACGTCTAAGTTGATCGAGCAAATAAAACTTTATTTGTATTCAACAAAAACTTATCGAACCTACTAAAATACATCGCTAATTATAGCAAAAAATCAAACATTTGAAATGAACAAAACGATGCAACTCTAAATCACACAAAGTCAGAGTTATCTGGAAACCTATGATGTAATGAAAAGAGATTGAAATCCTATGAATGACGAAATAGTACCTAGAAGAGCATACAAGACCGATGAAATAGATACTACTATATGATATCGCAGAAACAGACCTTTAACTTACGGAGTGAACGTATTCGCTTCCTAACACCTCCTCCCATCGAGAAGATGAACGTCTCGTTCTTAAAATCCCCGCATCACCACAATAAAAAAAATAAATGTAAAAGGGCTTGAGTTGTTGTTAACAAAATATTTCTATTTCGGCACCGAATTCAATAAGTAAGAGCGACATGTTCTCCATCACCTCAGTCCGTAGTAACAGTACTTCAGTATAGTCGGGTCGCCCTGGTTAGCCCCACGCGAAAATAACATTCAAACACATCAAAATGTTCCTCAAACGCTACTCTATGTATTCTAAAATCGCAAAATCTCGCATATTTTCCAAGGAGGTTTTATGGATTTTCCAAAATCCCAAGGTGTTTTCCACAAATCCGGTCTCTGGAAAACCCATTGGAAAACTTTGTTGAAACTGGAAAACTATTCCATTGGAAAGAGAATCGTCGAAAACCTATAGAAAGTGGTTCAGATAATTTCAGTCCACTTATAAAGTTAATGTCCGCCTGCTCTAGTGAAAAATGCCCGCTGTGCCTTAGACACTAGAACCAAAATTTTTTCACCATTAAATAGGCTACTGATCGTTATGTATGTAGCACCCATTGAATCTCTAAAAATCTCACTTTCGTTTTTTCCCCGAATGTCCACGTTGTTGCGTACTGTGCACGTTTATCATTATGAAAAAATATAGCTAGTTTCTGCGCAAAATTATGTTTTGTGCCCGGCTTTCTCATTTATTTGTGCCCGTGGCCACTGATTAGTACCCGGTTTGGGCACCAATAAATGTTTCCACATTTTTGTGCTCGGAAAAAGAACTGTGCCCGTCAGTTGCATTGATTAATGCCCGGTTTACGATTTTAATTGAAATTTCAAGAAACAAGAGTTGTGTGCCTGGTTTGTTAACGAGATTCTATATTTAATGGACACTAACGAATAAACCAATAGTATATGTACAACATCATAATGTTAGCGACATAAAGCTGGTTTTCGTTTTCAACGATTCGTCTGCAAAACGTAGAAAAAAAATATCAGTCGCTTTTTTAAAAAAAATTCTCGGTCTTGAGATATTTGAATTTTATTAAAACTTAGCCGTTTTCGCCTAAAATCGGGCAAGTCGATTTTCGATTACTTTCTCATTTCTT